TCAAAAAGAGGTATAACATATAATTCTAAAAATTCATATTTCGAACAGAGATAGTTATCACGAATCAAAATACGTTTTCGAAGCCTACAATATACTAAAACAGTATCCCACCAAAATATAACTTGTTGGTTTGGGAATAGTGCTCGAATTTTTTTTTCCGAAAAATGAATTTTTTGACCGTGCCTCGTATACACCCTGATTCACTATAATTTATGTGATCATAACCAGACATGTTTATGAGTTCCGATCAATATATTTTCTAGCTTATTTTGTTTCGTTCATACTAAAAAAACAGTTTTTTTCTTTGTCATTCCTACCTCGATACGACGTTTTTACGAACTTTGTCGGCTCATATATCAGAAACTCAACATACAAAACTTTTTAAACCCACATATTTTTCGAATGAGCCATCTCACAATAACATAGTAAAATTTCAGCCAATTCGACCGGGAGCCAATTTACCGTGTTTTCGTGTGGTGTCCTTTGATATATTTTGAGGACGTATTGTTGGCATCAAAATAAGACTTTTTCTTCATATGAACATGTGTCTCAAAATGCAGCCAATTTCGGCAAATGAAAGTGAGGACCCCTCCTCAACCCCCTTCTAACACTGGGTTTACATAATTTCGAAGAGAGAATAAAATGAAGTGTCTAAAAGGACAGAAGCCCGCCAATTTTCAGAAGATTCGATCCGTTATTTTAGGCACAATTTCAGAAAATATTTTTTTCTCCGATTGGCTATGAATTCAGCCTCGGAAGTCAATCTACTACTTTGCTGCCTAGTTGAACAGATAACTATTTCTCTACCTAACTCACAGTGGCTCTAGCTTATCCTAAGAATCAACTACGAAACAGCCAAAATGCTCAAAGTGGAATGGAATGTCGTTGGAATTAATTCATCGATTTTGAATAACCCTGTATATTGGAGTTTACGAACTGAAAACAATAAATTGATCATTTCATTTGAAAAAAAAATGTTGGGGCTGACTTGAGCTATCTCTGAAGGATTATATTCCCCATATGGAATCTTATCAGCCGTGGCACTTGATATCTCCAAGGCATTCGATCGAGTCTGGCACCACGGACTCCTCGCCAAGCTTCCATCTTATGGCTCGCCTCCCCAGCTATGTTCGACAGGGTTTCATCTGACTCTCTTAACATAAATGCTGGTGTTCCGCAAGGATCAATTCTAGCACCAACACTATTTCTACTCCATATCAACGATTTGTTGAAAGCAACTTCAAGTCCAGTACACAGCTTCGCGGATGATAGTACTCTCCATGCCGCCTTCTCTTCCAGGGCTCCAATACCAGCCATGCAAATCAGAAACGAACGAGGAAGAAATGTTGACAACATGAATATGGACTTGGCAACAATTGTTATCGAATGGGGATCCAATAACTTGGTAGATTTCAAGCAAAAAAACACAAGCATGCCTTTTCTCTAGGAAAGCCGATCTCACTGTGCCCAACATGAGCTTATCAGGAGTAACCTTCTCTTTGAAGACACCCATTTGGATGCTTGGTATTACTATCAGCAATAACCTTTCTTGGGAAAATCACGTGAGATCAATTGCTGGAAGTGCATCCAAAAAACTTTCTGTTCCCGGCCAAGAGCTATTTTACTTCCAGTCAGCTGTTTATGATCTATAAGGCACAGATTCGACCTGTCCTGGAATATTGTTCCCATATTTGGAGTGCAGCACCCAAACACCCTAAAGCTGTTGGATTCTGTTCAAAAAAGGGCAATTCGTCTCGTGGGTGATGCCTCGCTCACAAACTCACTCATTCCTCTGAAACACCGTAGAAAAGTTGGCGACCTGGCTCTATATTATAGATATATTCATTAACGATCCTCTTCTGAAATTTCAACAATTGTTCCTTCCTTGACAGTCCCCGCGAGATTAACCCGTCGAGTTGAGGCTTCACACCTTTTCGTGGTCACTTTGGAGACCTGCAGAACATCTTTTACCGAAGATTTGTTCATTCAACGAACAGGGAGGCTCTGGAACACATTGCCAAGGGAGGTGTTCCCCTTGGCATATTACTTCCAGAAATTCAAGAAGAACACCAATTCCTACCTTATTTCCCTTGGTTCTCACGATGTTCTCTGAACAATGCAGGATATCTCTTTTTGTGGGAACCAGAACATAGAAAAAATATATATTGCCCTCGATGATATACACTTGAGTACTCAATGATATTGCTAACGAAATGTTGGTAAATATATTAAAACGTATCTCGCGAATTTTCAGAATGAGGATTCACCTTCCTGCTATAGCGGATTCATTGCAGTTTTGAAGTCCTCACCCTGTTCTATAAGATTATGATAGAATGTATGAAGATCCGTGGATTGAACAAAATGAAGTTGCGCGGAATAACGTTTTCCCCAACCAAATCTTCCTCGAGAAATAAACGTGACATGTGTGATGCAATGGTCACAAATGAGAGAAACTCAAAGTCATTACCACAATAGTTGATAAAATGAACAAGAATCGTAGATAACGAGAGGAAAACAACTACTTTTCTGGCTTTATGCGCAACTCCGCTCCTGGTTGTCCCTCCTCAGGACCCTCCATGGTCCGGAGCATCTTCTCAATCAGGTTGCTTTTGATGTCCTAGCTCCCCTCAAGAAGAGCGTTGCAGTTTTTCCTGTCGCTCATCACGACAACTTGGAGCTCTCTCCTCACGTCCGCGCTATGAAACTTCGCGTGAGAGTTTGGGATCATCACCCCCTGGCCGGCAGTTCCCGTCTCTCCTCTGTGGAGATGTTAAACATTTGCTACTTGGACCACACTTTCTACTTTTCTCCACAAGCCTTATCCCGCTGTATCTTTTTCGTTCCTACATATCCACACCGAGGAGCTGAAGTTGGTCTAGACCTTGAAGTCCACTCCTTTGGGTCCTACGGTTTGACGTCCCCTACCGATCTCGACGCAATAAGGAGAACGATTTGGGTTCTTGCCTGCGTCTTCTTAGGTTTCTCTTCACTCTTTGTTTCAAGCTCCTCTTTGGTTTGGATCAGATCTCAGGTCCGCGTTAATTGTCCTGGAGGTCCGTTTCAGGACCCCCTGGTCCGATCGACGATTCCGGCGCGCACATTTGCTGTGCCTGGGAGTCTACACTGGGGCTTCCTGGCGCGGCTCGCAGCGCTACTGCTCCAGTGTGTGAGGTGGAATCGGTAGGTATGGATGGACCCTCCACTTCGCTCATCTGCTCTGCCACTTTCAACTTCTCTCCATGCCTCTTTCGTATTCTTCGCCCTTTCTTTTTGGCGTTCTTCCCATTCTTCCGGTGAGCCCCAATCTCAGAGCTGTATATCGAGAGATACACTGATCCTTCGTCGGTAGTTCCGCTTTCAAGGCCTGATGACAATCGGAGGGTTTTCCTGAATCTCATCTATTGCTTCCTCTAGCCAGGATGCTCTTCACCCACTTTCATTTGCACGTTGACACTTATTTGTTCTTTTTTGTTTTCCATAATTTGAGTTTATGTGTGTGTTTGTGTGTTGTGTATGGAAGGTTTGTATGTTGTTTTGTTGAAGCCAGTGTTCAGAGAGCACAAACCCCAGAATGTACATGCTGTTTCTTCCCACCAAAAGAAAACATACTGATTTCTGACATCACCTCCCTTACTTAAAATATCGGAAGGTAATATTCGGAAGACTTGTATACCAATGATTTCTTTCTGAATTACGAGTGATCCCTTCCATTTTGATGGTTTTTTTTATATATAGATTCGCCCTACTGAAATCGTCACACTCACTGAAATTCTATGTAAAAATTTCACTCACATGTTACGCGCCATGAACTTTCATCAACAAATCTGGATTCCAAGTTGAACTTTCTTTCGAATGACAATTATATGATATACCCGGAGCGTTGAGTTGTCCTGATCATTACCAGAAGGAGAGCTGATGGACCGAAACAATAATGACACGCTCTTGGTGAGAAGTCTAATCTCCCTAGTTCCCTCAGTTATGAGATCTAGAATTTTGAATATGACTGGGTAGTTTTTTCTACTAGTGCGACCTGTCAACAGAGAAGTTGACTTATACTTCATCACTTTGTATCATGCGATAAAAGCTGAATTGACTTTCGAATCCTTGAATCGATTTATACGAATCAAATGAGGTTCTCTCAGAGATTTCGCGGAAAAATCTGTTTACCTAGGAGAAGAAGTGTGAAAAAACGAATAAAGTCTCTGCCGTTTGGACAAATATCACAGCTCTGGTGTCGCATACTGCAATTGCGCGCAGTGTTCAACATTTTCAACAGGGTGTCCTTCATAATGCAATTGCGTGCACATCCCATTTTTATATGTTTCGAACGAAAAATTCACTGATTTTTGAAAGAAAAATAGTATTTTTTCTATAAAATGAAGCATTCTACTTTTTCCAAACAATCTAACCTAACTTTGACTAATTTAAAGATAATATAAAGAAGAGGATATTATTCTTCTTCTAAACAATCTAGCCCAGATTTGCCCAATATATCCATGATATAACGAAGGAAAATATCCTTCCTGCATAAAAAACATGACTTGTCTTTTTGAACAATCTGAACTAGTTCAGCTTGATATAATATACACCTTCCAAAATAAACTTCATTTTTGCAAAACACTATTTCCATTCGTAATTGTCGAGGTGATTTCCGTGGGTATCTCTGCCTCAAGATGGACCTCAATATTTCCGTTGCTTGCAATCACAGTATGCATCTTCAGGGTAAATTTCAGTCCCTCGGACATATTTGACCGCTCCGCGCAATGAGAATATATCGATGGTAACATGGCCCTGAAATCCGTTCTTTATTGGAAATTAATTTCTGTAAATATTAATAATGTTTCGAATGATTTCTGTAGAACTATAATACCCAAACTTGGATGCCTCTTATATATCATTCATCAATTTTTATTCAGAGTGCTCGCTCAAGATGGGGGCAAGTTGATGGATAGGAAAGAAAAATAATGTGTAAATAGTTGGTGATAATGATTTTATTTCTCATCTTTGGTAATGATAAATGGAAGCAGACGTCCAACTCAACATGAATTTCCACTACCTCCAAGGAAAAATTGAAGTTATTCCATTTCTTTTCCAACGATGTTTGTGGACATGAATCATTATCAAAACATGACGAAGTTCTGTAACAAAATGAAAATATTTATGAATATGTGCATAAATACGATACTATATAGGTGAGTATGGAGTTATTTTTTATCACCGGATTATCACCTACTCAGCAGCAGATGCTTCACTGGTATGAGTATATTGAGAGCAGATATTGACAATAATTCTCACCTCAGGATCTGTTTGTTGAAGGCATTTGGCCACAGTCCATGTTCGTTCCTTGAGTGGAGTACCAGTGGCTGAGTAAATAAAAATAAATATATCAATGTACCAGGCTGGTACAGCTTGACAATTCTAGCTTGGCTCCTGTGATGTGCAAACGAAAAACAGGGGTGGTTAGTGTGCGACAGAGATCCACAACGCATTTTTATTTGGAAATACAATCGTACTGTGATGTTTCCGATGTTCACTGAACCAATTCCTCGACAATAATGAGCTCTCGCCCCCACTCCGCCGACTGGTTTTCTGCGCATCAAATTCTAAGAGGCCAAGCTAGAATGTTCAAGCTGTAATAGGTATGAACTATTCAGTTGAAAAAGAAATATAATCGATTGAATGAGAAGAAACTGTGTGATTCAGATCAATTTGATATGCTGCTATGCAGAATGTATTTTGAAATTGATGGTTATATTTTCATGGAGAACTAAACTACTCAACTCTAATTTTTTTTTTCAGCAACTTTTTCCTCTTTTACTTGATATATAGCAATACCCTTCCTAACTGAACATTGTCATGTCATGTGTCACAGACTTAGAGCCTATTTAGTAGACATTGTCTTCATCTCAAGTCTCAGTCTCCGTCCTAGTCTCACTCCTGATTTATAGATTCAATAACGTAACGTTACGCAAATACTTTCGTTACACGATAGAAGATAATATATTGGATTTTTCTAGTATTGTTTAAAGAATGTTGTTCCGTAAAACACTGATCGTATCTGTAACGCGAGAGATGCCCATTTCCATCTTTCTATGTTCGCGTTGTGGAACTGTGACAGAACAGAAGAACAGAAGGGAGGTTGGGTCTATTGTTTGGTTCACATTTGGAATTGATTCATGATATTACATAATTATTTCACATACAATATTGATTATGGATTTCATAGAAACCTCAACAAGAATTTTATTGCATTTTATATAAGTCAAACAAGTATAACAAAAATAACAATGCCATCAAGGATACTATTTGCAAGAACGAGATTGCACCGATATTGTACGGATTAGGAATATACTTGGTAAATTCAATTTATTCATTCATTGATGATGAAGTACTCAACTGATGCAAACTGTTCTTCTGGGGAGATCATGCATGATACCTTCCTGTTGCTTCTTTATGTGTGGTAGGTTTCAAAGCTGGAGCAGATGGTTGCTAATATTCAAATCCATACGAGTATATTTGAAGAATTGTACATGGACATAAAGATACCTATAGCTTGAAAGAAACCTTTAGATTATCAGAGGTATCATCTTGAATAGACGAAATTTCCGATTTGCCAAAGCTACAATTGTTGCCGCACATAGTCGATTAGATAGATTTAGAGTTGGGCCTTCGACCTATCTGCCTCTACACAGCGACCTTTCCAGATCTATTGTGTCTGCCCTCGAAATCGCTCAGAGTTATTTAGCTAGCGTCGCCTATCTATGAGACTCCATAGGCTAGCTTCCAGATCCCCTGTGTTACTTTGGGCTCTTTGTTTTTCCTCACCCAGCGTATAAGAACCCTAGTCTTGACGAGCCCTCACAGTGGCAAAGTATGTGAACTGCTGTTAACTCCTTTTCCTGATAGAACCTGCACAGCAGTACTTCAGTCAGACCTATCGAACTCATGTGTTTGTTGAGCCTACAATGCCCACTAGTATTCTAGTTGTACTTCGTTTCTGGCTCAGTAGATATTTTGTGAATGTTGGCGATGGTTTTTCAATAAACTCATTTCTGGCGAGTTGTTTCACTATCCTTGAGATTTGGTGTGCATCCATGATTTGATACTCGTCTTTTGAATGACTCTCGCAATACCGCAAAATGGTTCTGGGCCATTCAGAGCTTCGTTTACTCCTGCTCGGGCAAGTGATGAGTCTGTCTCTTTATTGCCCTCGTACCCTATATGTGCTGGTACCCATGCCAGAGTCAGTCTGTTCTGACTGCCCAGTTCATTTAGAGTGTATGAGCAGTCCCATACTAGCTTCGAGTCAACTTGCATTGAGTTATCTGCATCGATTGCCGCCTGGCTATCCAAATAGGTTGCAATGGTTTTGCCTTCAAACTCTTTCCTCATCAATTCTTTCACACAATGATGTATTGCGCTTGGCCCCATGAATACCAGGTCCTGACCCTTCCTTGGTTTTGAAGCCATCAGTAAAGACAGCAATGTCTTCAAAAGTTTTTCCAAAGCTATATTTTGGAATTATGCCATCTAACACTTCCTAGCAGTGCAAAATTTTCATGATACAGGTGATCACCTATTAGAAGAATTGGAATACATCGAACAAATTGATCCTTGTGCTTCGAAACAATGCTAATTCCATAAATGGTACTGATAGTCCGAACAAAAATAATGATTCAGATTGATATGACAAGATTGGCGAGTATCAAATTCATGAAAATCTATAAATGCTAACTCTATTTTATCGTCTCAAGGAACTTATTGCGGAACGCTGAGAGATGCGTTATGGTATTTATAAATCAGGAGTACGTCTCCATCTTCAGTGATAAGGACATGAATATTTAAACAACTCATGATATGAGAAATCAAGACTTCGACAAATGACACTAATGACAGTGGTTCCTTTGAATTTTACTGGTCATTCACAAACTGAGCATGCGCACTAACGTCGTGGTCTCAGTTCTGAGCATAAAAGTTGAGAATTGGGCACTCTCAAGGTCACGTTTTCAGGGCTTAGACACACTGGGCTAGTGACAAAAACTGTTGTTCAAATGCTCGTATACGAATATATAAAATCAATTTGATTTGATGACTGAAATCAGAACAAAAAGACTGAAACTGAGACGAAGAATGAGTTGTCTGAATAGGCCCTACACGAAATGCATTTCCTTCCAAACATCAGTACCTGCTCTATTCGAAATCAATTAGTTCTTTTTTTTTGTGAGAACTAGAAATTGAAATTATTTTTATTGGATTCACCGCACTCGTACGTAATGTTTCACATTACCTATTAGTAATAGGGAGAAGGTATACTCACGTAACTCTCTTCCTCTAGTCGTACAGTCTAAATACATGGTAACGTGATCTCCATTATTCAATTCTTTAGGAATGTAGACTTCAACCAAAAGTTTACTCAGACGAAATGTAGATAAGTCTAGCTGTGGAGAAAATTTTGTAATTAATTTAATGTGGAGCAAGAAATATCGAATCAATCACTACTATTTGGTAGCTAAATAGCTAATGAAATACAATCCTTGTTTAGGGTCAGATTAACGGCGATGCTAGCGAATTGGGGCCTCAGGACCCCATATATTGGATCCTCATAAACCTTCGACTTGGAAAAATATCTTGAAAGATAATGAATTTTCAATATTGCCTATACCTTTTTTTTTGTAAATTATCGATTAGATGTTGATAGACGAACCCAAGCGTCAGAAGATTGTCAGAATAAGTATATCAGCTTTGAGTATTCACAATATATAATCAAGGATATCAGTGACTTTTGCAATGCTGCCGGATGTTCGGTAATAGTACTGAGCGGATACATTTTAGAAAATCAGAGATTTTTCTTGCGATGAATTGTGTGATTAGGTCTCATACAACACTCATTCCATCTATCGGAAATACGTAGTATAATAACCAAGATGAAGAGGAATTATCATTTTAGTGAAATATACGATGAAATCGAAAGCAATAATGCAATTCATTAGTTGAGAATAACTCACTACGTGATTATCATACAAAGTCACAAAATCATTTCAATCTACCCAATGTTATTTTAACAGTATCTCACAGTATCTGGTATTGCTTATTTTAAAGAAGTCATGTATACTTACAGTTCAATAAAACATCACATAACGCCGTGAATGCATCACGCATAAATACCTAAATACCTCAACCACGGCTATCTGTTTCGCAGTGAAAATCGCCGGAAAAAATAATTGCATTTTGTCACTTCACCGGGGCTGACCAAGGCATGAGTTAATCCACTTCTGATGTTATATTATGATCACAATTCAATAAACACGAGCACAAATGACGTGGACAAGGGTTACCCTTGCTCTTAGTTCGGCTGCCTCCCGAACACTATATGAGCCAGTCTTCACACATGTCTGTCATAGGCTCTGATCTAAGCACATACCACTGAGCAGTAGCGCATCTAGTTGCTAGTCGCTAACAGATACTATGAATTTTTTATAACCTTATGCCATTGATGAAATGAACCTATGGTTTATGCACTTCAATCCTCTACTGTTTTACAATTCCTTGATTTTCGCCTACTTCGATAAACATAACATGGCGTGGGTGAACTGATAATGATCATAAGTTCTAGGAATCACACCATCTAACATTCAATATGTAAACCCCACGCCATCGTCTGAAATTCAATTGTTTATATCAAGAACCAGTATGACGAAACAAATGAAGAGTGAGCGCACCAGACGTTTATTTCATAAATCTTATGCCTATCTATTGACCACCTCTTACCCATTACTCTTGTAATGTGATGAAGTATTCACTCACCATAGGGGTTAAAGAGTATACCTATATCTGATTTGTATCTCTGAATCGACATTCGAAGAGTTAGTTGTTGATTTGGTACTTACTGTTCCTGATTCTTTCCAGAGGCAGAGAACATAGTTCTGCAAAGTAACAAAATCATATGTCAACATTTCATTTCATCGAAATATATTCATTTTCCGTTGAGCAAAACTATGGAAGTTTGAATATTGAAATATTATAAAGGAAAAAGATGAATGTAATACGCAACGGAAACGAAAATTAAAGGATGATGGGTGAGTGATGTGGGCAAGTGAATTTCCAGTAGAAGTCTGATCTCTGATAGTGATAGCCATAACGGTCATCCTAGTGTCACATATCAAAAATCTTGAATTCCTTGATGCTTCCATGGAATTGTTTCAAAATGGTTTAATTTATCACTTGAAAATCGTCACATGAAACTCATGAAAGCTTTAATAGTTAACCGATAGATTAGATTATTATTTGTGTGTGTGAAATGTGGCACTTTGCTTGGTATATTTCGTGAGGATTTTTATAATTAATAAATGTGTCGTCGTTTCCTTCCTCAAAATAGACTAACATCCATTGTTCATTGCTACAAGTTTTACTAATTTGTGCTCTCATTAACAATATTTCATGGTATCAATTCAATCGTCTCAATATCAGATGACCCATATTCGAACAATAAAGAGAGGAGGGACTTAAACATGAATAAAAAGAACCCAGAATCTGAATATGTCGTTAGTTCAAGTCCATTACAGCAAGTATAATATTTTGACATCCTAATTGCTTTGTTTCAGCTGTTTTTGGCGTTTCACCTGGAATATTGTTGGTCGAACCTGAAGATGAAAAGTAGAGAGAAGTATTTTCGATGAAAACTTCTATGATGAAGAAAAATTTAGTGATGTTGCACTGAAAACTCGTCGAAGGAGAAACAATCTTACCATGAACTCGAAAAGAGCCGATCAAAATAAAATAGTCGGATTTTCCGAACAGAAGGAGAAGAGCCTGTTGAATCTATTAGAAAAAATGAAAATTCCTTGTTGTTATGAAGATTTCATTAGAAATTTGTCAAAGTTCGATCACATCACTATTGTTTCAGATGTTCCTGAGTTGCATGATGCCAATCGATAAATGAATTATATCAAGAGAATAAGAATATCATTTTTTTGTATAGGGTCCTTTCCTAATAAATGGACATTCACATTGCAAAAATTGGAATTCCAAATCAATTCAATCAGTAGTGTACTAATATCTCATTTTCTTAAAGAAAAATCATTACAAGAAAAATTACAGTTCATGGAAAACGACACAATTCGAAATGAATTTCCAAAGAAACTATTTCCAAGCTGTTAATGCCATCATGCGGCAATAAATATGTATCAATTATTCGTACAACACTTATTCACACTATCAAACAGTGTCGAATGATTGATTGATTCAAATTCATTATTTTCAATAATTCATTATTTTCAATGATTCTCGTGATGAAAATTCAAAATTTTCTTCCTGAAAAGTATACATTCTCTAGTTGTGACAGTTTTTTTTTTCTGATAAGCGATATGTATATTGTCCATCATCGAGATTCGTGAGCTTCCTAGATGTTATAGGGCTGTACTTGCTGGGCAAGTGTTTCTATCATTTCTTGCACGAGATGGTGAATAACTTTCTGAGATTCGGTATCAATTCTGAGGCACAGCTGTATCGAGAACAAAAGGTAGAATTCCATCAGAATAACCACTCGAACAAGTATGAGTATGAGGTATCGATACTCTGCGAATGTAAGTATACAGTCGTATGTCATAAGGGTACACATTTGTGTCATTTCAACACATTTATATCATTTCAACAAACAAAAATTGTGTGTACAAAGTAAATGGAAGATGTCACAATAGGTATATTCTTCCTGATTTGGCAAATGCATTCTTCGAGGCATTTTCTTTCTAATGATTTTTTTCTTTTTTATTGAGTTCGTTAACTGATCTTTATGTGGAGCTTACCTTCATTTCATCGTTGTTATCATCAAAAATCCCAGTTTTCAATTTCCAAATTTCGTCGTCGGTCACTTTATGATGCTTGACACATTCATCATGCAGCGCTTTACTAAATTCCTTCAAAGCTACGTTGTATTTCTGAAAGAAATGAGAAATGAAAGACATTACAGTCAACAAAAGGAGAAGGATCTACAGGAATTCTCATTTTCGGCACTCTAGCGGTCCCTTATTCATGAAGATGGAGAATTAAGGTTTTTGCTAAATCAAGCTACTCTTTCATAAAATATCAAAAACAGAAATAGCAAAATGTGTATACACTGAAAAAACAGCTCTACATGAGTCGAAATATTCTTTGATTTTGTAAAATAGTAGATAGTAAAAAAAATAGTGGGAAATTTGAAATAATGAAGGAAATAAAACACCACATTGTTCATCCTCTTACCCGATTATATATAATCTTTGTTTAGCTCAAGCATTTTTCCAAGTTTTTTTTCATAGCAATCCAAACTGATTCCGATAATAATATACAAAAAGGGCGACATAGACTTACCTGGAAATCATCGACCTAATTCAATTATTCCTCTAATCGGCAAAATTATCGAAATTATCTTCATGAAACGTCTTGTATCATGAGAATCAGTTCGGTTTCATGAAAAAACGATGTATCATACACGCTGTAATCGGCCTGGTAGAAGACATTTTTTCTTTGCAATTGCATACCTCGTTGGTCCCAGCACTGGGACCAAACGTCCCATAAGTCGAAACTTAGGTATACATACAAACACAAACATCCATGGCCTGGTAGAAGACATAGTCGAGGGCTTTGAGCTGTGTCTCTCATGTAATGTATTCGAAAAGCTTGAATATTCCAACTTTTTCGACTCATATTTACGTGAGCGAAATCAGAGGGTGTTCTTCAATGACGGTATATCTAGGTCTCAACAAAATACTTTTGGAGTTCCACAAGGCTCGGTTCTTGAGCCCATTCTATTCATTATAAATGTGAATGATATATTTGTGAACATGAATCAATCGAGGTGTATATTATTTGCTGATGATGACGCACCATTTCATTATTCAGACGAAAGTCTGGCAAATATTGAAAGCAAAGATACAGCACTTACTGAAATTGATGAGTGACTAGTTAATTAATGTGCTGAAACAAAATGTGAGCAAGTCTCAAAAATTATTTATCTCTTCTGATAATAACATTTCACAGGAAAATACTGCTGAATTGCTTGAAACCACTCTAGATGATGAAACTAAACTGGTCGTTTCACATCGACAGTCTATATATAATTTTTTGTTTACTGCAAAAAGTGAAACAATATGTGAGCCCTGAAGTACTGAGAGTTTCGAATTTTACATTATTTCACTCGCATTTCAGCTATGAAACCTTACTATGGGGAAACTCCTATCAGGTGTCCCGTGTTTTTATAATGTAGAAAAAGACAGTCTTTGTAAATCAGAGTTTTCTTGAGATTCATGAACACTTGAGAACTCACACTGCTCCTAATGACAGACACCAGTACAACTTCGAATAGCGAAAGAAGCAGTTGCGAGCCTCAGTTCTCAGTATAGCGTGTATTGCCTCTTTGGTTTCGAGATACTCTCTGAATTTCACTTTGTTTTGATGTATTTGAAATATTGCGGAATCGAATGGGCTGTTCAATTTTTTGGTATAGGCGTTGAGAATATTAAACATTTGAAATGTTTCAAAATGATACAATACAGCTTATACAGGGTGTCCCGAAATTAGCCTGTCAAACTTCACCAGCGGCTTTTACGACGAAAAATAGAAAGAAAACTTCCAATGAACATGAGAAATGTCTCCTAAGGGAGCTACAGCCCCCTGAAAGGAGGCTCCTGAAGATGATATTTCTTGAGTATTTCCGAAACCTTATGTGATAAAAAGATGCAATTTGGTACAATATCTGAACTGTCCATGCCCAATGCAGTGAAAATAAGATCATTTCAAAATTTCAATCAGGAGTGTATAGTACAGGGTGGGACTACCTAAAATATTGCTCTAAATTTTTTGTATGCATGAAAAGGCAGGAAAAAGGTAAGTACTCTTGTTCCGTGACGATCAGATGTGTTTTTATCGAGTAAAAGCAATTTGAAAATATTGATACATCTCAGATATTATGCATAACATTGCAATGAGGCGTATTTTTTTCATCATCTCTCGTCTATTTTTCGCGCATTTATAATATTGTTTGGTAGAAATAAAGTACTTTATTTTCTTATAGACACTATGATCTGAAAATTGGCAACGTCATGCATAAGATGTGAGTGCATCAATATTTTTAAATCAATTTCACTCGAAAATGATATATCTGATCGATGAGGAACAAGAGTCCATTTTCTCGTTAAACAGTGTGGATTTTCATAATCCGAGATTAAATTGTCAAAAACTATACATAAGAAAAAATTTGAGCAATATTTAATGTAGTCCCACCCTGTATTATATACTCCTGAATGAAACTTTGAGATGATTTTATGTTCACCGCATTGGTCTTGGTAAGTTTAGTTCTTGTACGAAATTGCATCATTTCATCACGTGGCGTTTCGGAAATATTCAAGAAATATCATCTTCAGGAAGCGGTAGCTCCCTTTCTCGACTTATATTCATTGAAACTTGTCTTCCTATTTTGTGTCTCAGAAGCCGCTGGTGGAGTTTGGCAGGTTAATTTTGGGACACCTGTAGTGTTTATAGTTAGCTATTGATAAAATAAATGACGAGATTTTGTGAGATAGTTATGGTGATAGATAAATAAAGGAGATTGACAAACAAGTTTAATATTATTATCAAAATAATATTGGGATAAAAGACTAACAAACATAACAGAACATTATATTTTGGCGACGAGATGTCGAAGAATCCCCAGTGAAACATATCGTCGATATAGAAAACAGGCCATATCCAAGAAATATTGAGAACAAAAAACTGACAACAAGGTTTGACAAGAGCTGTCGTCAATTAGTCAACGCAAGTATTTTTTTTCGTGAACAGAATAAAAATGGAACTATTTGGAAACATTGAGGCTTTCAATGTAGTGTCCAATATGGAGAATGTTGGAATAAGATGGCAGAGGTGGATCAAAAGGTTCGACAATTTCCTAACAGCGTCAGGCGTCGCCGAGGATGCACGGAAAGAAGCTATGCTTTTACATTGTATAGGTGAAGAAACATTCGAAATATTTTGTTCCCTTCCTGAACCCACTATAGTAGCAGATGATCCTGGTCCTTCAAAATATGAGAAAGCAAAAATGAAACTGAATAATCATTTCATTTCTAAAGTTAACGAAGAATTTGAAATATTCAATTTTCGACAAGCGAAACAAATGTCTGGCGAATCAATTGAAGAATATTATGCAAGATTGTTAAAACTGAGCATTAATTGTAATTTCGTGGACAAAAACAAGGAGGTAAAATCTCAAATCATTCAACATACAGTATCATCTAAACTCAGACGCTATGCAATGAAAGAGAATCCTACATTGAATCAGCTTCTCACCCAGGCAAAGTTATTTGAAGTAACAGAAACACAGGTTAAACAAATGGAACGCAGGGAAGTAGAAACAGTTTCTAGAATAAAACATGAGAAAGCCAAATATTTTGAACAAAGCAGAAATGAACATTATACAAACAAGAACGGAATACAAAAAAAATCAACATGTATGAATTGTGGAAATGAATGGCATTCCAGAGGAAGAATATACTGTCCAGCATACAAAGTGATATGCAATTTTTGTGGAAAGCAAGGACATTTTGCTAAAGTATGTATTACCCGCAAAAAAGAAACAGAAAAAGAAGAATATTCATCGAGAAAACAAACGCAAAGTACAAGTAAACAGACTCAAAAACAAGTCAACTTCAATGACCAAAACACAGATGGGAATAGTGAAAGTTCTGATGAATTTTCATTTCATCTACAAGTAAACAACATGAAAAATCTACCAATAGCAACAGTTAATTTGAATGGAAAGATGATATCATTCATCATTGATACTGGCACATCCGTCAATTTGATAAGTTCAGAAACGTACAGTATTTTTCCCGACCAACAGCTGAGTGATGGTAATAGTAGCATCTTTCCATACTGTTCCAATAAGAAACTTGATCTTCAGGGAAAGTTCGTTGGAAAATTTAGCAATGAACATTGCGAAGTTGAAGCTGAAGTTTTTGTAGTGAAAGGTAGCTGTGAATCACTCTTGAGCTATGAAACATCATTGAAGCTGAACCTTATCAAAATAGCATTCAATATGAACACGAACATCAGTCTGAGTTATGTCGAAGAAAAGTATCCCAACATCTGCAGAGGCGTAGGAAAATTGAAAGGTTTAGAAATCAAACTGCATATTGATGAAGCCATTGCACCTATAGCACAAAAACATCGTCGAATACCGTTTCATCTGCGTGAGAAAGTTGAACAAGAAATAAGGCGTTTGGAAATTGATGATATTATTGAACCAGCAGAAGGTCCAACACCTTGGGTTTCACCTTTAGTAATTGTGCCTAAACCTAAAAATCCTGAGGCGATTCGTATGTGTGTGGATATGCGTGCACCAAACAAAGCGATACTTCGAGAGCGACATATAACCCCAACAGTAGATGACATCATTCAACAAGTTAATGGAGCTGTATTATTCAGCAAAATCGATTTGAAAGATGGATATCATCAATTACCACTAGAGGAGAAATCGAGATATATTACAACATTTTCAACGCACATAGGACTGTTCAGATATAAAAGATTAAGTTTTGGTATAAATGCAGCAGCTGAAATTTTTCAAAACACAATACGACAACTTCTCATCAATATACCAGGTGTTGTCAACATAAGTGATGATATATTGATATATGGAACAACAGTAGCTGATCACAACAGGTCACTGGTAAAAGTTTTATCGAAGTTGAATGAATCAGGCCTAACTATAAACAAAGCTAAATGTATTTTCAACGAAAAATCCATCACATATTTTGGTTACGTTTTTTCACATCAAGGAATACATCCAGATCCACTCAAAGTTAGAAGTTTTGTCAATTTGCAGCCACCTGAGAACCAGAGTGAAGTTCGTAGCTTGCTAGGGATGTTGAACTACGTTGGAAAGTTTCTACCAAATCTTGCAGAAAATACCAAATTATTGAGAGATTTAACACTGAAGAATTCAACCTGGGAATGGACACGGAAACACGATGAAGTTTTCAACTTCTTGAAGCAGCAACTCAACGATGCAACAAAATTGGCTTATTTTGATATCAACAAACCCACACATTTGTATGTAGATGCAGGACCATATGGACTAGGTGCCATATTATCCCAAGAATTCGATGGAACGACAAACATTGTCGCCTATGCCAGTAGAAGTCTTTCGGATACTGAGCAGCGATATAGTCAAATCGAAAAAGAGACGTTGGCTGTTTCTTGGGCAATTCAACATTTCCATATTTATCTTTATGGAGCACGGTTCACTCTACATACAGATCATCTACCATTAGTAAAAATTATACAGAATACTAGATCAGCTCCTAGTGCCAGGATAGAGAGGTTACTACTCAGAATACAACCATATAGTTTTGTTGTAACACATCAAAAAGGAGAAACAAATCCTTCTGACTATTTGTCACGATACCCAAGGAATAAAGAAGAACCTCCTGTAGATAAAAACATTGAGAGATACGTCAATTTCATCATCAACAATAGCATTCCTAAGAAAATGACGGTGGAGGAAGTACAGAACCAAAGCCGAATCGACAACGTTCTGTCCATGTTGATAGATGTCTTGAAAAATGATGATTACAAAATTTGGAATCAACCAGGCCTTGTCCCTTTTAGGAAATTGAAAGATGAACTCACTGTAGTTGATGACATCGTTCTAAGGGGTAACAGAATTGTTTTACCAGATAAACTGCAACACAAAGCAATTGAACTTGCTCATAGAGGACACCTAGGATTAGTCAAAACCAAGCAATTGTTGAGAACGAAAGTCTGGTTTCCTAATATTGACAGAATAGTTGAAACTTTCATCAACAAATGTATACCTTGCCAAGCAGTGGTACCACAAAAGAAACGTGATCCGATAATATCTACAGCTTTACCAAATTACCCTTTTGAAGCAGTAGATGTGGATTATGCAGGCCCGTTTCCGAACAAAAAGTACGTTTTCATCTTAGTGGATGAATACTCAAGATATCCAATTGCTGAAGTGGTACCTTCTACTTGTTTTTCACATCTCAAACCAATTTTAGAACGAATTTTTTCATCTTTTGGAATTCCGCAGTCCCTGAAGTCTGATAATGGTCCACCATTCAATGGACGAGAGATTCAAGAATTTTTATCGATTTACAATGTGAATCACAAACGAATCACCCCGTATTGGCCGGAAGCAAATGGATTAGCCGAAAGATTCGTTAAAACTTTCAAAAAATCGCTAAAATGTGCACAACTCGAATCTAACAAGTTTGATTCTCAAATTCATCAATTTCTTCTGAATTACAGAAGTACACCTCATTCGACTCTAGGTAAATCACCGTTTGAGATAGTTTTCAAAAGGAACATCAACAATTTTTTGCCAATGATGCCCAAAACAAATGAGGATGGTTTTGTTACTATGCAAGATAGAAAGAAGAAACTGGACCAAAAGAAATATGCTGACAATAGACGACATGCAACCAAGCACCAATTCAAAGTTGGCGATCAAGTCTTGTGCAAACAATTGAAGCAACATTCGCTTTCACCTGTTTTTGATCCAAATTGTTATAAAGTTATTAAAGTTAGCGGTACCAAGATCACCGCGAAAAGAGGAGAGAAGATAATTGAGAGAAATGCCTCTTTCTTCAAGATTTTCAAAGCAAGTCCAGGTTCAGAATCATTAGTGCCTACTGTACCCCTCACTCCCTGTTTGTCTCGTCATCCATGCCAAGGAAAAATTCGGTTTAGATGCTTGTTCCCTGATAATCAGATGATGGCAGAAGCTGGCAATGGAATAGAAGTTGGAAGACAGCAGTATGATGAAGTTATAGAACGTGAAAATAATGTTCACGCATCTGATGATAATGGTATATATCCACGAGTTGACCGTCCAGCCAGGCAGGCCAGAAAACCATCATATCTTGATGACTTTATATGTAATTAATAGTTAAAAAAAATAACGATGTAGTGTGATGTATTTGATTCATTCATGAAAAGTTTTTGATACTACTGATGTTGGTATGTTCATTATTTGAAAGAGAGGAGAAAATGTAGTGTTTATAGTTAGCTATTGATAAAATAAATGACGAGATTTTGTGAGATAGTTATGGTGATAGATAAATAAAGGAGATTGACAAACAAGTTTAATATTATTATCAAAATAATATTGGGATAAAAGACTAACAAACATAACAGAACATTATAACACCCTGTATAATACAGAATTGCCCTTGTTTCACTTTGTTTGATACATGAATGAGGTACTTTGTATGTCATCAATTTCATTTCCGTATCCGATATCACAATGAGTCCATTGTGTAATTATTTAAAAAAGAGTCATCGCCCATGGAATGTCAAATTTGAAGCAATGACAGATGAGCATTACTCAAGAGGACATCAGATGACTACAAGACGAAGAAATAAAAAATATCAGCCGTACAAAAAATATAGTGTACTTATAACTCGCACGAAATGCTGATTTCCCACTCGAATGATTGCAGCATTCGCCTACGGCTTATCCTGCAAACTTCATTCTCGTGGGGAATCATTATAAGTCTGTGCTCGTTGAACAATATATACTATTTACCACACATTATGTTGATACTCACAGATTCATCCATTTGCGCGAAAGTTGAAGTGATGCCAAGGAAAACTGATAGGCAAAACAAAATTTCCATCTCGGAAACCATGAATTTCTGAAAAAGAAAATTAGTATGTAAAGGGTTCTCCATCGAAAAGATCCACCCATTATTGTTATTTTTCCATCGAAAGAAAATAAAACGATATGGGGAAGTTGAAAGCCCTTGTTAGAAGTTTTACAGTGTGATCTCTAGAAGCGTGACAAACCATTTTTTTAATGGTACACACTGTTTTTTATATTCATTCAGAATCTGTGTATCTTTGTGATCATGAGAATATAAATATACAGGGTGATATTTTCTATTCTTACTTCTTCATCACCACTGTTTTGAGCCTATAGAAGAACAACATTTTGTCTGTATAATTGGGGATCACTCGATCAGTTTGGGAATTTATTCGATAATGATGTAATATACACTGTAGGAAATTAGTTGATGACTCAACAAGAGTTTGTTGTCACAGTAGGTCTACAACAATTTCTTTTTCAAATTATCATCATTGACATTGTATTGAAATGATCAATGAATTGATAACTCCATTGTACATATTTGTATTCTCAACAACACTCTATTGGTAGAGTTAATAGCTGGTATCACTTCCTCACCAAGTAGCCAAGCGTAGTTGGGGTGTCAGACGCAAGGTTTTGGAGAATGAAATTCTCAAAGTCAGCATGAAATGTGAAAACACAGTTAAAAATCATTTCTCCACAAGACTCAAAACAAAAACACCAGAAGATCTGAAATCCAATATCATTTAGAAAATACCATGTGCTGAATGTGAGAAAGTGTATATAGGACAAACAGGAAGGTATCTACAACAAAGGATGACTGAACACAGCATAGATTGTAAAAATATACACAATCCGCTGAAAACAATGAAAAATCCCACTAGCCTGGCAGAACATTACAAGTCATCACTCCAAAACATTTTGCCAATGTAACAGAATTTCTATATCATTAACATAAAAATTATCAAGAAAAATAAAGAATAGAACATAATTTTTGTTAATGTTAGAATTAATTTCTGTCAGTGTGTGTTTCCGTTTAGGAATCATTTTTATATCATTTACAATATGTTCTTCGATATTCATAGAAACAGTTCGTATAAAAATACAGAAAATACTGTTAATATCGTTGATTATTCTGTGCCATTTATTTTGTGAGGTTTCTATACTAATAACAGATTTATTTTTCAAAAGAATGAAATATTTCATTATAGAATTGCCAAAAAATGAATATTTCTCAAATTCACAAATAATTCTATAATAATAAAAGTACTTTAAATGCAGTGAATATATGCTGAAAGAATATTCTGTGTATATAACAAATACTTTTGTTCCATTCAAAGACACGTTTGGGACACGATGTCATTTCCATCCAATCAGGGCAAACCTGCTATTTTTAGATCGATTGCTCCTGGCACTCCTCAAGTCCCCATTCACATTTCGCATTTTGTGTTGTGAACACATCAGCAATTATATCAAGTAGTGTGAATTGTTTCGATTTTTTATCGTTCTGGTGAGTATCTACTATCAATGATTATATAATGTTATATTCATTCGTCAGACAATCAGACAAAAGCGGTTAACTATGTTTCAGGTTACTCATGAAAGACGGGAAACGCCTGGAAGATATTTTCGAAAAATGGAGCTGTATGTCCTCAGAAAAATTCCAAGACGCCTATAGAAGAATTGATAAAATATCCATACTAAAGGCATCAATTCTTTGTAGAAAATCGTCACTCGAACAATTATTGGTAAGTAACTATCCTAAAGAACTTATATCGATAAAAAGCTCCATAATATCATCAATCGAGGATGATATTTTATATCTATTAGATGAACCAAGTATTGATGAATGTTATACCTATTTGATATTGCTTTAAACTAATTTCATTTTGTTTCAGGTTGAAATTGCTGCTTGGAAAATCATATACTGAATATTGGCGGAAAATCATACTGACTATTTGCATAAACACTCCGAGACGCCTGGGAAAAATGATTCTTTCATAGAAAATTCAGGAAGAGGTTTTGCCAATTTTTTATTTCCCCCAATGCTTTCAATGCTGCAAGATTACATTCCATAGGATTGCCGGAATAATTATTTCGATGATACAGAACTATTTTATACTTTGACAGCATTATTCGTTTGAGTGTACAGAACTTTCTTCTGTAATGATAGATATTCCTTTAAATATAATGAACACATGTTGTAACATCATTTCATTATTATCAAAACATTCTGTAATATGTAGAGAAATTTTATGTTGTTGGAAAAAATAAATTTCATCACGACTAAAGAAAATTTCTTTCGAAATATCGAGATTTCTCTAAATATTGAAGAATCCATATTGGGATTTTGAAAAAAATGGATCATAGAATTAACAGACATTTTCATTGGCGCTATAGCGAAAGAAATTTTTGTAATATATAAGGTGATTGTTTTAATATTAACCTAGTATTTTTTTTCTGTGTTCTGTTAGTATTATAGGACAACAGACAATATTTGAAAAAGGACTCTTCAACGAAATAACAAAACATGGAACAAAATGTGTACAAAAGATCGGATATTGAGAATTTACACACCTCATTTTTCAATCTAATAGAAAAAATCAAACAATAATTCCGAATCATCAGCAGGCGACTTTTTCCAATCCCGATTATTATTTCTTTCACGAGCCTTTTCTGCGATATAAAGAAACGATTCAACGACAGTTCAGTTTGTTTATTCCTTCATGTTCGTGCCTGTGTTGAGGTCTTTCATGATCGTATTCGATCATGATGTACGTATTTATACTTTATGTCGATTTTATTTATTTCAATAATTTTAAACCCCGAAAGCCACCCTAAATGTAAGTACCTATCAATGTTGTTTTCTGTGAAGTGTGAGAAGTATCAAAACCTCTCATTTTAGAATATCCTTTTAATACCACACACCAAGATGGGAAGAGATTTATTCCTGTCGTGAGATTAGTTAGCTAACCGAGACGCAAAGCGTCGATGTTAGCTATGATCTCGAGACAGAAATGAAACCTCCTATACCGAGGTTTGTATACCATATCATTTGCAACCATGATATTTCGATGAAAATTGATGAATCTCTGTTTCGTCCTGAACAAACCTGAAATATTACATGAGTGAAGGCGGGAAGTAGAGAATGACGTTAGTAATGACAACATTACATTATATGGTTGTAAATGAAATGCAGCTTTACGTCCGATCGTATACATGAAATAAAGATCACACAGGTGTCTTCATTATGTGTAGGAAATAAAGGATATCCAATGAAAAATATTTCAAAAAGTAGGAATGACTTTGAATAACTTGAAAATTCTCAAATAAAGTACTGAATTATTTCCTAACAACAATTTCGGAGAACATTGTTCGATACTTATTCAGAAATATAATTTTTCAGTTATTCGCATGAATTACTGATACATCTGTTTCAACATACCCCAAATTTTCTCAGGAGGAATAAACTGTTATTGAATATTTATGTATTTATTTATATATCTATCGTTATCGTTGTAGTAATCATTAATAAGACAGAGAATAATGTTCGAACATAATCAACCATTAAAACCAAGTTCACCATTAGATATTTGTATAAAAATATTCAGATAATTTGAAAATGAGAATGAAACAAATTGATGTGCTTCATTTCAGAAATATGATATCGTTTTATACAGGGTGGACCACTTATACTCGCTCGGACCATAGCTGCTCGGCTGATAGAGATAGAAGAAAAAAATTCATCGGAAGTTATTGGATACTTCATAAGCTACCCTTCAAAATTATTGTCTAGTATACAGGGTGCACCATGAATCCGGGGTGAAAGAATCGATCGTTTTTTTAAATGGCACACCCTGTATATAATTTCATTTTTGGAATCTCTCTCATGTGGGCTTCACAAACCTATTCTGTTTTTAAAGATCAGATGCGACGTTGTCAAGTTATTAACATTTTAATCAAATTTGACGAGAAAACATGAATGTTGAAAAATATTCAGGGGAACTATACTTTCGAAGATTTATGAACAAAACTGGGTATACAAATACTCAAAGTATGTGTAGAAACTCAGACATTATTTGGGTTCACTCAAAATATACAGGGTGTTTTAAAATAAGGACCGAATTTCGCTATTTCCAAATCGACGAAACTCATTTTTCTCAAATGGATCACCCTGTATATTATTTCATAATCTGAAAGCTCATCCAATGGGCTTTTCGGTGATACCATATAGACCGTATCCAACGTTACTCTTCGATAGGCGAATAACGACGAAATCATACTTTTTTCAATCAAAAACATTTACGAACGTATATTGAAAATATTTATGATTCAAAGTATTTGAATATGGATTGAATTTGGAAGAAATCCTGTTCGATGAGGTGTTTGAAGTGTCTTTTTTCATTGAATATGTTTTTCGGAGTCAATCTTTGATTGTTTTATTCAGATAGCTCAATTCACGTGGATAATTATTGTTTATCACTCTTTCGAGATGAATGAAAAGCAATCACTGAGAACAGATGAACATCTTGACAGTTTCTACAACGAGATTCATCAATTACATTTCAACAGAAGTTTTAGTGATATATACAGTTGTCAGTTACTCTTCTTACTTGGTGTAATGGTTCATCAGTACATTTTGTAGCACTAGTCCGCCAGTGGTTGAATGAGCGTTTTCAAGATAGGTGGATTGGAAGAGGAGGTCCAATACACTGGCCTGCAAGGTCGCCAGACTTGACCCCTTGCGATTTCTCCTTATGGGGCTATGTGAAGAACAAAGTGTATTCGGAACCAGTAACAACGAAAGAAAACATGAAGATGAGGATAAGGGAAACTTTTGCAAATATAACCCCAGAAATGTTGTCAAAAGTAAGGAATTCGATTAAACATCGGGCTCGAAAATGTATCCAGCAGAATGGAACACATTTTGAACATCTCATGAACTGATATGTTTTATGAGTTTGAACATTCCTGATTGTCAGTTGAATTTTCCCTAGGTTTGTGATTGTTTTTGAATAAAAATGTACAGTTGAATTGATTTATCGTTATTTACCTATCGAAGAGTATCGTTGGATACGGTCTATATGGTATCAACGAAAAGCCCATTGGATGAGCTTTCAGATAATGAAATAAGATATAGGGTGATTCATTTGAAAAGAATGTGTTACGGCGATTTGGAAATAGCGAAATTCGGTCCTTATTTTAAAACACTCTGTATATTTTGGGTGAACCCAAATAATGTCTGAGTTTCTACACATACTTTCAGTATCTGTATACCCAGTTTTGTTCATGAATCTTCGAAAATATAGTTTCCCTGAATATTTCTCAACATTCATGTTTTCTCGTAAAATTTGATTAAAATGTTAGTAACTTGGCAACGTCGCATCTGATCTTCGAAAACAAAATAGGTTTGTGAAGCCCACATGAGAGAGATTCCAAAAATAAAATAATATACAGGGTGTGCCATTTAAAAAAACGATCGATTCTTTCACCCCGGATTCATGGTGCACCCTGTATACTAGAAAATAATTTTGAAAAGTAGCTTATGAAGTCTCCAATAACTTCCGATGAAATTTTTCTTCTATCTCTATCAGCATAGCAGCTATGGTCCGAGCGAGCATAAGTGGGCCACCCTGTATACGCAATAGTAGATAGATATACGTCATGCACACACCAAAAAAAAACTGTGCTTCCATAGCAATATTATTGCAAACAATTATATTGCATCCTTGAAAATACATGTTCAATCGAGAAAAAATAATTGAGGTGATTGAAAGTTGTAATATTGATTTGAACAAAGACTTCTCAATGATTTTGAAACTTACCAATACTGCAATGTGGTCGAATGTAATATATCATTCCTGGAATGATTGAGAGAATATTGAGAACCATCAAAGTAATATTATTATTCCAAGAGCAGAAGTTTTTACGTGAAATCATCTTCCGATAAAATGCATCATGTCTTATGCCAGCAGTGGCGTAATAAAACTGTATAGGCCAGTGGAAAAGTCAATGGATGCGACCCTCACTCATGTGAAAGTTCATTCAAAACCGATTCACCATCAATCTGTTTTTCATTTTCAATGAATTCGAATTGATCCTTACAAAAAAAGATATCAACAAATGGTATTATAATAATTGTGTTCCTATGACCATTTCCTTTTCAGTTATTTCGAATTCAACAAAGAGCGTATTACAATGAAATAACAATTCAATAGTCACATTTTGCTTATTAAAATCCCGTTTTCACGAGCTTTCTGTTCAGTATAAGTGATGAGGAATTCAAACGAAAAATCTGGCTATAGTGAGGTTGAACATTGAAGAACTAAGTGATGTTCAACCTTTTTATGGCTCTTCAACCGCTTCAAACCTATTTCCACCTGACTTGCCTTGATGGTCAACCCAATGATGTTTTAACTTCTTATGATTCATTGTGTCTTTATAAGGTTCGTTTTTGCTGTGGAAATTAATTTTCACATATCTAAATTCATCATGTAAATTAGGTATTGCAGTCTGCTGATCGCCGTTGTGCCGAAACCGGTTACTTTTTTATAATAGATGAGTTCCTGACCGCCGCACTTGTGCACTTCATAAGGGAAAGCGCTTTTCCTTTCGTTAGGAATTTTCGTGTATTTCCGTGATATTATACCACTTTCACTGATGCCTGCCGTTGTAATATACGAAAGTTCAAACAAACTGATGCGCTAATAATTATTGATGGAATGCAATCCGCAGCGGCCGAACTGACTCAAAAGGGTTTCGAAAAACTGAAGAAGATTAATGGAAACTTCGGTGTTTTCTTATTGCATGCTGATTTGAAGAATTGAAGTTTCAGTATAAAGAATACTACGGAAAAATTGGCAAGCGCTTCTCGTCTGACCAACGGTGGATAGTTTTTCAATTGTAAACGCCTTTTATTGCTTTACATATTCTGATTCATAATCATCTGACCTACACAATTATATCTTATTTCTGCAATTGTTGATTGCAACGTGCCTGTTGATCTAAGTTATCAGAACTTCCATCCTAAATCATGTATCAATTTCTATCATACTTCCGCTATAGCTTCAATGAATTCATAATCTCGAAGGGTTGTTTTTAATGATTTGTCAGACTTTTTCGAACGATTATAACTTTATTATTCCGAACGCAATACGCTGTATATTTTACTAGAACTGCATGCCTATTTTCATTCCCAATCTTTCATCTAATTCCATATTCCTCATATATAGGGTCTGTATTTCTCATCAATCCTGTAAAGCCCCGAGTTTGAAATATATTCTGTAGGAATCGAAATGATTGTGATTCATAGACCTAACGATATTGTTCTCAACCCGACTCTTCCTGATTTTCAAAGAGAGTTTCTCTATATCTCATACCAATGCAGCAATAGAGCTTTCTAACACGACGTGAACACCAGGTGTATAACTTATGAAAAAGCATGATTACAATGGAAACATACAATAATCATCCACAATCCTTCAACAGCCAACTTCATCTAACTTATAATGTCTTTCAGGTGTCCACTGACGGCCATTTTGGAAAATGGACACCACGGCCGTCAGGGAGCAGATGGCTCCACATCCAAATTTGTTCATATTATATCAATCTAAGTGGACAATTGTTATGCTAATCTGTAGTACTATTCTGAACAATATGAACTGAAAGGAATTCTTGATTCGGATGGATATTTCTTTATCATCACAGTACGTATCGGTCGAAGGAAGAATTAATTGGTTTGAAACAAGAAAATTCTGCTATTGTCAATTTGATCTCGCATCATATTTGAACAATTATGTTCTTGAATCGGGAAATTTCGAGCTTGTAAAAAATAGATATTATTCATTATAATAAGTGAATATTTCTTTAAAAGATCCTTATCTTCTGTACCAATATTATTTTGGAGGAAATCAAAATATAGCTTACTATCAGAGTATTGAGTAATGAATATCAAACTGGGTCATCCTTTTATACAATAACAAAAATGGAAACATGTATAATATAAATGAAAACATATACATTATAGTTAAATCATCAAATACTATGTTTAGTTCAATCTAGGAGGTGAAATATTTATTTTTCTAGATTTTTGTGATTTGCTGACCTCGTCTTCTTCCCCAGAATGTCATCGTACTTGAAATGGCTTGAATGTTGAACCACGAAAACCTAGAGAGAAGAGTGAAATCATCAATTGAAAAATGTTGTGTGTACCTATAGAACTTGCTTCGGAAGAAACAACATTTCCATTCATCACAGTCAGGCATTATCATTCTAATCAGGAATCGAGTGAAAAATATACACAGATGGACAATTTTCTACTTATATCTATTAGAGAATTCATCGAATAGATGCGACTGGTCGAATCGTCACTGCTGAACGAATGTGTGTTGTGCAGGATATTCAAACATGGCCATAAGCGTTGACAATGATGTGTAGTTATGGTTTCAGGTTTGATTGATATCAAGGTTCATAGAATCATTCCAATAAAATGAGTAGGGAACACCTCACTAGGTAGAACTATGTTACATAAATATACAAAGTTCTTACTCCCGCAGATTGTCCTCAAATATGGAATGCCGCATTGCTTTGAAGATGATACCATACCACTATTATCCATGACTCAGCACACTTGACTCCTGAACATTTCTCCAGTGAAAAACAAAAGTTCTTTGTACCGTCTTCAACGACTGAGGAGTCGAATGGGCGCAAGCGTACCGCTGTTTCAGACCAGCAGAAATTTTCTTGAACCAATATAAATTGGAATTTATGTCACTTGTAGTCGCGGTTTTCTTGAATGAGAAAATATACTGTTTAGGTTGAGCAAATTCATATCAAGAAATTCCAAGAAACGAAGCAAGCAAGCCTGCTATTGATTTGAGACAAGTGTATACATATATTGCATCATTGAAATAAAAAATTCTTGTACGGAACAATTTGATTTCAATAAAATTGATTTGTTTGAACGAGAAATCCTTTTTATCTGTGTTCTTCCTGAGAGTATATTTTAACAAGCGTTTTAACAATTTCTTAGACTTGCTAACTAGAACAGAATATCTTCGAAAGAGCTATTCCACACAAATAATATAATTGTACCAACGAATCACCATTGGCCTAAAAACAGTACAGGCAACCAGATGAGCAATGGTTACGTCACTGTGACCTACCCAATTGGTGTTTTTCGTCAGAGACGTCATACACCAATTTCTGAAGTCACTATGACTTACTTTGTATGACCTGATAATCACGTCCTCTTTGAGACTTTAGGTAAACGTCACATGGATGGGTATATATATAATATACGTCAGTTTTATGACGTTGCAGGGACGTCGTGTCGACGTCATATGTTTCTATGAGTCGTTCAGGGAGAGCAGGACATAAGATTATTGTCAACTTGAGTAGGTGCTCTTGGTCTATCTGAAAATTTCCAGGAATTCAGAGTTGCCGTTTATACTAGAAAGTAGTAGCAAATTTGATATTTCAAATGGAGCAGACTGTATTTCATTACATTTTTGGGTTCTTCCTGAAAAGCTTATTCCATCAATGTATCACACATGGAGTCTAGCTGGAATGATCACAGAGATATAGGGTGTTCAAAATTGAGATTGATTTCGATCACCCTGTATCTGTTCCAATCAAGGGTTAGTAAATAGTAAAAGTTATGATAGAGACATGTCAGCCGATAATGAATAGTGAAAAATATCGATTTATACTGCCATATCGCAAGTGTGATGCATTGATGTTAGTGGTGCCCGCGAGAGTCTCGTTTTCGAGAGTCTCGCATGGTCTCGTATCGTTTTCGAGACAAGACTCGAGACGAGACTCGGACTAGACGAGACGAGACTTTCATTGGTCTCGTCTCGAGTCTCGTGCAAGACTTCTCGTGTCTCGTGCGAGAGTCTCGCAGGTAAATATTTCTGCGTGCCGACTGCAGACTTGAGAATTTCATTCATAATACAACATATTTAGAAATAATTCAGACTATTTAGCACAGACACAATCCATGATTGTTGTAAAACGACGTAATGCGTGAAACGAAAACGGACTATTCTCTCTCTTACGGCGGAATGATGTTGGATTTTTTGTTATGTTTATTTATTTGGAATATACGTGTTACCTACTTTTCATTTTATTTTTATTACTTTCGAATATATAATGCAGTGTTTTTTTCCTTGTTTAGATGAATGATGTAGGTATGTACCTATTAGGTACATTTTAATAAATATTGTTTTTTGGTTGTAATATTCTTTTCCTACTTCTACATTATACCTGGAAAGTAGGTAAAGGTAAATATTTCGTACTAAACTGGAACAAGATTATGCATGGCGAAATTGCGATACATCTGCGAGACTCTCGTACGAGACGCGCGACAAGACGAGACTCGAAGCTGCGAGACGAGACTCGAGACAAGACTTCATGTCCATCGGCGAGACGAGACGAGACTTTATGAAAGTCTCGTCTCGTTGGTCTCGTGTGAATCACTAATTGATGTGAAACCACCTCTTCAGGTAGAATCTAATAATGCAATGGAGTACAGGGTGTTCCGATTGGTATATCAAAGTTGTTACTGTTTCAATTCAAGATACCTACGTTAAGAGTTTCATGTCTAATTATCGGCTATTTGTGACCCAGTGCTAAAATCATAATGAAATAGGCAACCTGGTGCGCGTGGCATGAAAATTATGGTTGCGCAGTACGCGAAACGGTGTGAAATTCATGGCCTTGAGTTGCCTGATATAAGGAATCAAAAATAAACAACACCAATTATCTATTATATATTCTATTAGAAATATTTTTATGGTATATTTTGCTCCTTGGTAGATTTCAAATAAAAGTAGGTACGTGAATTCAGAATTCAACCCATTCTTCATTGAAAAATGCATTGATGTGGAATACGTCCATACTCATGGCTAACATCATCCTTCTAGAACATGACAAAGTTCTGAAACAAAAAATGAATAATTATACAAAATATACACTGCACGAAAGGAATGTATGAACGTTTATTGTTCAGGTGAATGTGACATTATTTCCTGAACGACTCTCAGGCTGTAAAGCACTTCATTCAAAATATAAGTTAGGTGATTTCTCCTGCATGTTTATTATACAGGACGAATTGGATAAAATGATAATATGATCATTTGATGTATAGGACTCAGAATATGGTAAATCATTGCTATGAGTGAATCTACCAGACCTATACATCAGCTTTTCTACTCATGCGAATCAAATCTGACATTTTACACAAAAAACAGGTTGATAATCGCTCAACCGTACATTTTGGTTGGCACAAAATCAGTGCTGCCAACTCAGCCATTGTATGGCTGGTTCTATTCATTTTTGAACTCATTCACCTACTAAAAATTTCATCTAGCCATTAATAAGCCAGTTTTTCCTAGCTATATTTTTTGGATTTTTTGGATAAATGTCTTGGGCGAAATTGAAGCAACAAGCTGGAGTATATGTCAATCGACGAATATTACCAGGAAAAATAGTATCACTAGTTGTATTCGTATGAATATTTCATTATTAAGACAATTAACGAGCACCTCGCGAGAGTTGCGCACACTGCATCCATCATTCTGGCTTTCAACATGATTGATGTTCCGATTGTGGAGAATTTTATTGCTGTAAAACGAGGTTGGTTCATTCCCTGAAAACACAATTATGTCCCATGGATATCCTCAGGACGTCCTGTCGAGACATTCAGGACGTCCATTGGACGTTTAAATTTGGTACCGTGGACGTCCATCGAACGTCTGTGGAACGCACAAATGTCCCACTCAAGTACCAACTAGGAACGTCCTTGAGGGATGTCCCTGGGACAACTATCGAATACCTAAATCCTACAGTATTCCTCATCAAGCACTACGGAGGACATCCTTAGGACATCCGTGGGACAACCTATCAGCAACGCCGAGGAATATCAATTGGATGTCCATAGGATGTCCCAGGGACGTACGAATTATTCTCGAAATTGAATTTTTCTGGATCCCTCTAGGAACAGATCTTGCATAACTGATGAGGACATCCAGTTGAGTTGATGGTCCGTAGAAGGTCCCCAATAGATCCTGAAAAAGTTTCCCAAGGATGTCCAATGGACTTACGTGAAGGACATTGACGGGGAGTATTTATAGCCTACGAGCAATCAGTCGTCGGCGAGGTGTAAGTTAACGTCCTCGCAGATAGGGACAACATATTGAAAGTACCGACTGGGACGTTCGTAGGACGTTATTTCTAGGACATTCATACCAATTGGGACATCCGACGGATATTCCTAGGGGATATTCGAAAGATGTCCCTAAGGGACATTTCGATTGTTATACGATCATGGAAATATCAAGGGTGGCTGTGCAGAAATATTTGAGGGAATCAGGGACATTTCATGGTTGTCGAGAAGAGACATTATATAAGATCTGAAGTCATGCCAGAACATGTACTACTCAGGATATCCGATGGATGTCCCAAAAGGAACGTTTAAAATTATATCCCATCAGGGACATGCTAAGAACGTCCTTGCAAAGACATTCTACAATATGTACCACGTGAGACAACTAAGGGATACTATTTCTAGGACATTAGGAATGATGTACCTGCTGGGACATTCCGTGGGCGTCTTTCCTCGGACATTGCATGAGATTTACGGGATGGGACGTCACAACTTATTTTTGGCCCAGGACATTCGGACTTGAATTGTACCAAATAGGGACGTCCCTAGGACGTTGTGTGCTATTAGGGTCACCTGTGGTCGACTTCTAGCTCGTAATTTTCGTAAAAAATCTTTAGTCGACCGGCCGGTCGACTACTTGGAATTACCTTTGAATTACCTCTATCTATCAGATTATGACAAAATGTTCTCATTACATCAAGCTTCGAATGCTGCACGATCTGAATGATGAAATTTTTCAAAATCCAATAGTCGTCTAGGCAAAAAGACCTAACGGTTCACCATATGTTCGATGCAACCAGTACTCGACCTTTCACTCGTATGCATATTTCAATCATTATGATCTTGTCGAAATGATGGGTTCTTCAAAATTTCCGTTTCAGAAAATGCCTCGGGAAATACCGACTAAAAAGAATCGACACAAACACACACCAATATCTCCTATAGTTTCTCTGACAGCTACTTTTAGAAAAAAATAGAAATGGAATGTCCCTTCGAACTGCCGCTCGCCAATTCGGGGTTTCAAAAACTACCCTTCGCTGGATAGAATCGAAAAACAAGATTTTCAGCAGTTCCTCTCGGCCACTTGAAAATTGAAATCATACTTTTTTCTCATCAAATCTTTCCAGAGGCGCGAACACCGTCCCTTTATACTTGCATCATCAGTTCTATTACCTATACATAAAGATAAGAAAACATATTTTCGAAGTTATTAGTCCCAATAATCGAACAGTTTCATCGAATAGGGGATGATACATACAAAAGAGATTCCAAAATTCTGAGGAAGTTCAAAGCAGTTCCGGAAGAAGGTAAGGGAAGTTTGAGAAAGTTTGGGAAGTTTGAGGAAGTTTAGGGTATTTAAAGAATTTCGGACAGTTTGAGGAAGTGTGTGAAGAAGCCTGAGGAAGTTTGGGAAGTTTTTCCAAATGGGAAGTTTGATGTACAAGTTTTTGGAACGTGATTACCCCCTCAGAATGAGTATCAACCACACAGAAAGTTTTTAAGTAGCTAAAGGAATTGTCACAAGTGCATTCTGGGTTTTGAATGAGATTTTATCGTTTTTATTGTATTATAGTTCACCATGAGTCGGTTGACTTTTGGGAGAGTCCCGGTCGAACTTACATTTTTTGCGGTCGACTACTAGATTTCTACACGTTTCATCATGCTTGATTCTATACACAATTAACAGTACCTATACGGTGAGAAATCTTATTGATTGAAGCTGGTTCGTCAAAATATGAATGTCACATCAAGAGCTCAAATTTTGATGAATGTCAGTCAAAATCAAGTACATGATTTCTTGAACATTCTTCATTCTCCTGAGATATTTTGTGTCAGTTAATGATTCAAAGGGTGGCAATGAAATGAGTACCTGGATTGACACAAAATTGTGTGAACCTGGAGTTAAAATCAACTCAAAAATTACCATGATTTTGATGTATTAATACACTCCAATTCATTGGAAAAATTCATCATCAACACATTAATCAACACAATTCCTGAAATTTGATTAATATTACTCAGATTCATTATGGCATGTTAGAATCAGAATATATGTTAACTGGTCGGCTACTATAGTGCATTTACACGCATTTGGTATTGGTAGCTAAAAAAATAGCCGCTTGGTAGTTATTCCACCAGAAAATCGACCGCTTGAACACTAGATTTCGAGCTTCGATCTTATCAAGAAGAAACAATTAATTAGTATCCCTATTGGAATATGTCTAACAAAAAATGTTTCAACATCACGTGATGTCATTGAACCATTAGGAGATTGATTAGAACACAGTGTGTTCATTTATTCCACTGAACCTATATGAATACCCATAATATTTTCTGGAACGTTCCTATTATTTTGATACAGTGTGACCCACTTCTAATGGAACCACCCCTGTATCTCACGTAATCGTTGGGTAAGGATCCTGAAGTTTGCTGGAGCGAGAGATATACCAGAAATGCACTCTATGACCAAGTGGGGTCATCTTCAGTGATATACACTGCTCGCCAACAGCCATGAAACTACCCCAATTTCCGGGAAATGATATTAGGAGTAGAAATAGGTCGAAAATCACTTCAGATTTGGAATCAGGACGCCCAATTTACTAACTATTCAAATTTTTCCTGGAAAATTTTCAGTTCGGAAAAAAGAAATTTTGTCGCATTTTTTATGGAAGCACCCCCGTATCTCACACAATTATTGTTGATGATTCAGAAGTGATTATTTTTTTCATAACTGAAAAAAAAACTATCAATTTCCTGAGAAGAATGTGGTTTTCCTTGAGTTTTATCATTATTCAATGAAATATTTAAGTTGATTTTCAGATGCCGCTAGCAGATTCCAAAACTACCTCACAAAGATAACCAACTTTGAAAAAATGCCCATTCAATACAGATTCTGAAATGGTATAACATTTGGGGTTATTCAAAACAGCATTTTTGTTATTGATTTGTTTCAGATGGGGCGCGTATGGGTTGCGTGCAAGAACTGTCAGATGACCGACCCTGGAGGCACAACATTAAAACACAACCTCACTTTTCTTATTTGTTTGGAAGTGATCGAAATAGTTTTTCACAATTATTTTGGCATACGAATCGTATTTTGAATCGTATTTTGAAGCATATTATTCGGCTTTTCATTAATTCGCTCATGCCATCACATTGTGCTTTTGTACAATGCACAAACACTGCAGCGGAAGACGAAGGAATCCGGTTGGTACATTATGATTCAAGAGTAAGTACCTACTATAGTCATTCACATATAGTTTTCATTCTTGAAATTTGGTGATTTCTCTAATTTCTCATCGGAATTCCTTCTGCAATAGGTGCTAATAGAAATACTCGTAAAATTCCTGGAATAATGCAAGAAGATTGGATTATTGCAATCAAACGGAAGGAATGGTCTGACATGCTGACGAAATATGATCGTGTGTGTTGTAGACATTTTCAATCTATTAGCAGTATTAGCTTGTATTGCAGAAGTGGCAGAAGGAATTTTAATGAGGAACGACAACATTTCATAATAAAAGCTATGTGAGATTACTATTTACCTGAAAAATCATATTCCTTCGTCTCTCGCTGCATTTTTTGTGCATTGTACAACATCACAATGCGAAGGCATGCTTGAATTTATTTATTTATTTAAATTTATTTATTTATTTATTTATTTATTTCACGGGATAACCCAATTTACAATGAATAACAAACATAAATAAGACAAAATAAAGATTTGCCTAATCTACAACTAGTACTACATACACTTTAAATTTGAATGACAACTTTCAACAACATTTAAATACAAGGATTGATTTTGGAAATAACAGAATACCAAAATAGATTACTGAAGGCATTAAACACTAACATCTTTTAAGACCTTCCTAATATTATGAGCATTCATACAAAACAAATCAAGGCTCTGAGAAAACCTGTTGAAAGATATTTTAATTCTATTAAGAGGGGAGTGATAGGCATAGTTGGTTGTATGGAATGAAACATTAAATATTTCAGGAGTGCGAGTGTTATACACTGGGATTTTCAGTGCAATACTCTCAAGTAGTTTGGGGCAGTTGATGTTGCCTGAGATTATTTTCTGTAGGAATACTATATCAGTGACGCATCTTCTGTGAGAAAGTGATTGGATATTTATCATTTTTTCTACTCCGGCATATACATAATCTTCTCTAACTAGTCCCAATTTATAAGCACAACATCTCAAGAATTTTTCTTGAACTTTTTCAATTTGCCGAACATAACACTCATAGTGTGGGGACCATACTATTGAGCCATATTCTAGAATAGATCTAACATGAGAGCAATAAAGTATTTTCAGAGTGTTATAACTGAAGTCTTTGCATACCCTAAAAGTGAAACCCAATATTTTGTAAGCTTTGGTTGTAATTTCATTAATATGTTGATCAAAAGTGAGTTTGGTGTCAATTTTTATTCCCAAGTCCCTGATTTCATTGACACGTGATAGTTGGTTACCGTGGATTTCATATGGAAAGTTGATAGGAGTTTTAACTCTCAAAAAAGAAATGGCAAAACACTTTTTTACATTAAGATTCATCTTATTGAGTCGACACCAATGTTCTAAATTATCTACGTCCTCTTGCAAAAGATTAGCATCGGTCAGAGAGTCTATAGAGCGGAATAATTTTAGGTCATCAGCAAATAACAAAGATTGAGAATTACATATTGAAAGAGATATGTCATTGATGAACAAATTAAAAAGCAATGGTCCAGAATGTGACCCTTGTGGTACTCCGGAGGATACCTTTATTACTTGTGAAATACATCCGGCCACTTTAACACATTGTGTTCTTCCTCCCAAGAAGCTGTTGAACCATTTTAGCATCAGTTCACTAAAACCAAGCGCCTTTAACTTAGATGCTAGGATATCATGGTTGACTCTATCAATTAATGAATTAATGAATAGCGCAAAAAACACGATTCGTATGCCAAAATATTGTGAAAAAAACCATGTCAATCCTTTGATTTCTCTGTGAACAAATGAAAAATTAAGGTGGAAGAGTGAGGTTGTGTTTCAATATTTTACCTCCAGGGTCGGCCATCGTGCACGCGACTTATTCAGATAACTTTAACTTTTGCGAAACATCAACAACTTGATAATCACATATACCGTTATACAGGGTGTATCTTAATAACACCGGAAGAATTCAAGGGGTGATTCCTGGTGATATTCTAGCAGATAAAGTTCATATAAATATGTATCCTAACTTGCTCCATTTTTGATATACAGGATGTTGAAGTTCTGAGTATTAATTGTTTTTATTTACAACCTCCCTGTATAAGCTTTCATGGTGCCAAGATTCAGTATTGTTGGAGACTGAGGAAGCCCTAAAATTTCAAAATGATTGTGATTGGGGTTATTGAGTAATCTCAATGGTAGTCTTGAAAACACTTACAGTAAAATTTGGAGTCAAATCGGATTTTTATTGTTTTCTCAAAAAATAAGCTAGATACAAAAATTACACAGAGGATAAAAAAGTTGTTATTTCAACAGTTCAATCTAATAAAAATATGAAACTCAAAATAACCTGAATGACATTCACCATAAATATCGATACATCTTTTCACTGTGATGCCACTGGAAATATTATTTCGAATCTAATTGCACCAGAAGAAGCTCCATATTACTATTAACAAAACCATTACGTTTTATTGAAATTGATGGAGAGACAATTGAGTAATAAAATAAAAAACGATTTTTCATAGAAATATTGATACCCTATATCTCGAAAACGAAGCAAGTTAAGACACATGTCCATATGAACTTTATTTCCTCATAATATCACAAGAAATCGGCCCATGAATTTTTTCGGTGTTATTCAGATACACCCTGTATATAGTTTGATTGCAAATGACCCCCCTAGAACCCCATTCTCTATGATCCATGACTTATGAGACACCCTATATGTATATTTATTTGTAATCTGTTGTTATTCGTTGATATATCATTAGTTTCTGATGAAATTACATCATTCAGGCCATATCCATGCAACAATGGCGCATTTGCTAACAATGAATACAATTTCTTCATTAGAAATAAGTTGTTCTCACAGTATGAACCTATTCTACATACTTAAAATAATGATGGAAGTAAGATATGGTGCGCGCATTCGGTCATTATTACATATTGAAAATTTCAGAAAAATCACTCGACCGCCTACTATGATTTCTCTACGTCCACAACGAGCGAGACGTTGATTCTACATTTTCCCGCTAGATGGTGATGCTGCTATCGCTGCTGTAACGAGTGGAGATAAAATGGCAAATGGCATTTTAGGAACGCGGAACATATGTAACAGTGGGATTATTCAACTCTGAATTCGAGAAATCTGCGACAATTTCAAAACTGACAGATGTAATGATTGTGCAATGTCGCCATGTATTAGAAGATCGACGGAACCATTGCTCTCGCTGCTCTCGAGAGGTCGAGTAAAATTTCTGAAACAAAAGCGCATCAGTAATTACACCATATCTCACTTCCATCATTCTTAAAATATATGAATACATTATTGAACAGAGAACTTACTACGGGATCAGCCTGTTGAGCGCATTTCATGAAAACCCATATCCGGTCCTGCAAAGCAGTGCCGGCAGCTGAAAATATCAGAAACCATCAGTGGCACGAACCATACACTTCATGTTCGTTCTCATTCAAAATATAAACAGTCCGAAACAATCAGGAACATGCGCAGTTTCACAGAACTATTGACATTTTTCATGTTCCGTGGAACTGCGCATGCTTCCGATGGTTTCGGACTGTCTATTTTCCGAACCAGAACTAACCTAGTGAGTAGGAATTCGAAATTGAACATCTCGACCAATTTGTAAAATGTAATTTAGTAGGTACTTCCAATAATATTTTATGTGTCCTATCGGAGTATGCATTAATTTCAGTTTTATTAGCATATTTCATGATGAAGGACTACTATGACTGAATATCATCAACCTATACTTACTGGGAAATGAAATTAGAGGGGAGCGACTGCTGGACCACTCCGGGATACTGTGTGAAACAAAAAATCACCAAACTCTAGGAATGGTTCCCGACATAATGGCCACTCAGATACACCTGAAAAAGTCTTTCAGAGTCCACTTCCCGAAGAGAGACGAATGGGCAAGTGGATCAGTCCAATTCCCAGTGACCGAACACGTAATGTACACAGATGGTTCGAATGGAGCCGGTGTGTTCAGCAGAAAACCGAAGACGGAAATTTCCGACAATCTTGGAAAAGGCAAATATGCCTCAATCTTTTAGGCGGAGGTATTCGCAATTGAATTATGTGCTCAGTATTGTATCAGACAGTCAGGCTGCTCTCAAAGCACTGAGCTTCAGCAATATAAATTCCAAGATTGTATGGAGCTGTATTGAATCCCTAGAATGCCTGGGTGCTAACAACAGAGTCACTAGGCTGTGGGTGCCTGGACACCAGGGGGTGGAGGGTAACGAGAAAGCCGACATCCTCGCCAAACAGGGAACCGAGTCTGTGTTACTAGGACCAGAACCATATTTTGAGGTAACCGCAAGTGCGGCGAAAACAACTATCTCGGGCTGGGTGGAGGGAAAAACACTCACGTACTGGTCTGAATTACCAGGATTGACCCATTCGAAGGCGTTCCTGCCTAAACCATAGGAAAAAATAACCAGGCAGATCCTAGAATGGAGCAGGGGTAACCTGCGAATTCTGACTGGACTGCTTACGGAACACTGTCGTCTAAGATACCACCTGGGAAGGATGGGTCTGAACCAATAAACGGACTGTCGGTTCTGTTGTGTGGAAGACGAAACGGCTGAACACATATTATGTTCATGCTCTAGCTTATAGAAAGACTAAGGTTCGACACATTTGTCCTTACCAATTTAGAACCTATCGATTCCAGACAAATCTCACCCAATTTAACCATGAACTTTGTAAAAAGATGTGGGATTGTACGGTGAACTGTAACCTCTAGGGGTGAGCCACAATAGACCCATCTGGGGTCGCAGTGGAGGGGAGGTATTCGCCCCACTCACATGGAACCTAACCTAACCTAACCTACTGGGAAATGAAGCTGGTCACAGGAAATATACAGGGTGGGTCACGGTCGATGGTACCTTAGACAAGGAGAACGGGGCGTATATCTAGATATTCCACATTATGTATTTGGCAACAGTGTAGTTTCTATTAGTCAATCCGAAACTTCCAAACAACCAGTGACAGTGTGCGAAATACTCATATTGAATGTGAATCAGTGACAAATCCAGGTATGCAACTAAACTTTTTTTTCCATAAACAAATATTCTAATACGCTGTCCACGCCCACTTGCCCATTTCCCCCATGGTAGTAGTTTCATGATCTTTGTTCTCGCGTTGTTCTCAGTTCATCATTTGTCTTGTGAAATTGATGATAGTATTCCAAATGATTATAGACAAATCAGGGTAATCATATATCAATACCGCTGAATATTACTAGTGAAACAGAGATTGATGAATCAATGACTAGAAATTCATTGATACCCAATGTCATAAAAGTTTGATTATCGAAAATAAAGAAAAGGGAGAATACAATTTCTCACAATTATTGAATTCACTGAAGGATAATATGGTACAAGCTCGTCAACCATGAGGACTTTGACAAACAGGCTATCACATGATGTTGAAACAAGAACTGCATGGAAGAGCTTCTGGTTGCTCATTTGTGAGTACAGCCTACTGCCATGAACAGACTCGGGATACACATCACAAGAGCTCTAAGAGGGCCACATATGACCGTCCTGCAAAAGATGAGGCTCCGAAGAAGAGACAATGCCATATATCAACCAATATTGAAGCTATTCAGGCAAATGCAATCAAGCACGGCGACAAGCATTAACCTAATAACTACAGGGTGTCTGTAAGAGGTCTCTACAAAAACATACCACATATTCCTTTGACCAAAATAAGTAATAGTATAATTTTAGAACATAAACAATAATTATTGAAAAACAAGCTTTGTCATCTGGAATCCCTTTTATAATAATCACTCCAATAGAATTGAAAATGTTCAGAGGAAATTTGTCAGACACCTGAATTTTCGTTTTAACCATGGAAACATTTTCTCCTCATACAATGCTAATGTTAAACACTAAAAAATTGAAAACCTTCAACTGAGGAGAACATTTTTCGACATTCTTTTCATTTACAAAGTGGTCAACAATCTAATTGATTCTGAATTTTGCACCAATTCTCTCACTTTGAACTGTACTCCATATGCCGTGAGAAACAGACATCTCTTCACAACTGGACCTAGCTCTACTAACTCTCTACTGAATTCTCCCTTACATAGGTGCATAAATTCTTATAATGTGATAGGAAACAATTCTCTTGTAGATATTTTCACCACGAAAATATTCAGGTTTAAAACCAAACTGAGGCAAATTATTCACTCTTGACTTCTTTTCACATATTGAGGTATTGTAACCTCAATTGTAACGACTCCTCTTCAAATAGCTAACGGAAATTCACCTTTTCCTATTTTTATGTTCTTTATATTCCACTGTAGTAATCAATCTCACTTATATAAACTTTAACTTTTCATAACCTTCGATTGTTAACTGATGATTAGTATATTTTGTGCTTCTCTGTAATTGAGTCATTCGACCTGTTGAGTAGCCTGTAACCTATAAAAATAAAAAATTAAAATAAAATAAAAATAATGAGAGTAAATCGAGTGTTATCAGGGGTACTTTTTTGTAGTAAATGAGTACCCAATCCAAATTTCATACTCAAAACCCTTTTCTGCCACTGGCGTAGAATTTTTAAAGGTACAATTATTTAAAAAATCAAGTTCTACGCCTTTGTATTATTATTAATTTTATTCGACGTATGAATCTTTGTATGCGTGAAAATGGTGAACATTTTAAACAATTTTTGTAGAATCACTATTAATTCTGATTATGTTGTGAATAAATATTTTCTTGAAACCTATACACTCTAAATTATTGAAACAGAAATTCAGCGAAAACCATGAGAGTAATCGAGTCTTATCAGGGGTACCTTTTTGAAGTAAATGAGTTGCGCAATCTGAATTTCATACTCAAACTCCTTTTATTCCATTGGCGTAGAATTGTTAAAGGTGCAATTATTAAAAAAATCAAGTTCCACGCCTATTCGACTCATTTTGGTCTAAGGAATATGTGGTATGTTTTTGTGAAGACCTTCCACAGACACCCTGTATATTATGATGATTTAATATGTTTCAACCAATAGATGCATAATACATTCATCAATCTGAGCTTCTAGAATAACGTTTTCTTCAACTCGTAGACTCATTATTGTGTTTATAATTTTTTTTTTAATTGACTCGGCCGTTACTTGATGGAAATTCATGACGAATGTAAAAGCTTCACAAACGATAAGATTTCCACAAAATCCTCAAACACATGACATGTTTCTACCGTATTTTAATGTAGATATTGTGCCTAATTTCCGAAAATGAAGGTTTATCGTACCTGTCCACAGATAACTGATCCTTCAGGTTGGGAAAGTAGAATATATAAAATTTAAGCAAGCCAACGTTAGTTTAGTTCATTGTACCAGTATATCACCTGACGAAGCTACTGTGTTAGCGAAACATGTCGTGTGTTTGAGAATTTTGTGGAAATATTATCGTTTGTGAAGTTTTTACATTCATTATTGTGTATTTCATCATGAAAATGTTGAGTAACTATACCTATACCTATAAAAAATGATTCTTTGTTCTCTTACTGGATTTGAAATGGACATCCATGAAATTTTCATCGCTGGATTCGACATGGATATCCTCCAGTGAATATCTTGAGGATATCCATAAGATATCCATAGCAATTATGAATATGTTGCAAATCGCAAGATTCATTCTGATTGGGTCAATTTATGAGTTTCTCTTGTGTTCGAGCATAGATTGAAGCTTCCTAGTAATAGATCTGATTCTTTGTTTTCTAACTGGATCTGAAATGGACATTCATGAGATATCCATCACAGGATTCGACTTTGATATCCTTCAGGAAATATTTTGAGGATATCCATAAGATATCCACAGCAATTATGAATGTATTCAATTTGCAAGATCGATTTTGATAGTGTCCATTTTCGAAAATTTCTTGTACCCGAACATAAATTGAAGCCTTTCGGAAATAGATCTGATTCGTTGTTCTCCTACTGGATTTGAAATGGACATCCATGATATATCCATCGCCTGATTCGACATGGATATCGAGTAGATATCTCAAGGATATCGAAATGATAGCCACAGAAATTATGATTGTGTTCAATTCATGAGTTTTCTTTGTATCCTGACATTGATTGGATCTTTTTGGCAATATATCGGATTCTTTGTTTTCCTACTGGATTTGAAATGGACATCCATGAGATATCGATCGTAGGATTCACCATGGATATCCTTGTATCCATAAGACATCCACAAGAATAAGGGATGTGTTCAATTTGCAAGATTGGTACTGATAGTGTCAATTTCTGAGTCGATACCACCTGAAACAAGCCACCGTGCCACATGCAGGCCAACAAATAATCCGTGGGTTCGAATCTCATACTCCACTTACTTCTTTTTTCTTTTTTCGTAGTAATTTATGAAAAACA